AATAGCCAACATATCAACACATCATCTACCTCAACAGCCTTGACAGAAATCTACATACTATGTCAAAAGGTACGCTGACCAGTACTTCAGAAGTGGAAGAGAAGGAAATGTAATTTTAAATGAAAGAAGGGACTAAAACTTAATATGAAAATAATCCCCAATTTCTAAATATGTCTATTATTTATACACATACCAAAAAGAAGAAATACATGGGATTACTCACTAATTTTCCTTTCTATAGTTTTTACTATTTCCCCAAATGTTCTATAATGACTATATACATACACACACATACATACACACACACACACACACATATATATACATTTTTTTAACTGAGACAGGGTCTTACTCCCACACCAAGGCTGGAACAGTGGTGTGATCATGGCTCACTGCAGCCTCGACTTCCTGGTCTCAGGTGATTCTCCCACCTCTGCCTCCCGAGTAGCTGGGACTACAAGCATGTGACACCATGCCTGGCTAATTTTTTGCAGAGTCAGGGTTTTGCCATGTTGCCCAGACTGGTCTTGAACTCCTAGGCGCAAGCAATCCCCCTACCTCAGCCTCCCAAAGTGCTGGGATTACAGGAATGAGCCACCATGCCCAGCTCTACAATCATCGTATTACTTCCAAAAAAAAAAAAAAAAACCCAGAAAGAACAAATGGTTATCTATACACAAGTTGAAAAAGTTAAGCATAATGTAATCAATACAATATTGATTTTTTTTGCCCTGTGTCAAAATTTGGAAAGGGCAACTACAGGTCAGAATTGACAATGAGACGCCTTTGGCCATTCATATCAGTGATGCAGAAGTCAAATGACAGAGAGCAACTATCGAAGACTAATATGTTGCATACTTTTAAGAGAACATTACCCTCATTAACTAATTTTTCAGAATTTTCAAAAAGATAGTCATGTTATGCAATCCAGGAATTCCTCTGTAACTTTTTTTTTAACCTTGATGAGAAAGAAATAAATAGGGAGACTATGAAAACATTAGGCTTTTAAAAGATATTGTATTTCAGGTCATGGCTAGGTAACGTTAGTATTCCTTCAGTCTTGTGTCCTAAACTTCTGCATCTCCACATACAGTCACATCTAAGAGATGTTAGAATAAACAGATTCAAACACAGCTCTTCTCCCTCCCTCTCTATACTTCTTCAAATACATTTGGTCTTTAAAAGTTAGACGCTTCTATGCTCAGTCATTTATATACACATAATAATTAAGGCATACAATGCAAATGAAAATACACTGGACTGCCAATTAAGTTACATACATTAGTCTATGAATATGGTGGCTAATACTGTATATTAAACATTTGCATATTATTAAAATACTACACAAATCAGGTTTTTGGTGCAGAACTCTAATGATTATTTTATTTATATATTTCCCCTCTTCCCTTGGAGCTCCTTTTAAAAACAATTTCAGGGATATCTGGGCTCAGTGGTGCACACCTGTAATTTCAGCAACTTGGGAGACTGAGGCAGGAGATCACTTAAGTTCAGGAGTTTGGGACAGCCCAGGCAACACAGCAAAACCCTATCTCATAAAATAAATGATAAAACTAATTTCAAGGATAATGTATAGTTGAAGGAAGACAAAATAAATTTACAAGGTAATTTTAAAAACAGAAACGCTTCAGGGCAAAATGTGAAATAAACACACATTCTCAATATGCAGGCAGTTCACCATTTATAAATATATATTCTACTATCTTCCACAATGTAAAGACTACCACTACTAAAAACTATTAATTTATACTTAAGATGGCAGCAGGCCAGGCGTGGTGGTTCATGCCTGTAATCCTGGTACTCTAGAAGGGCTGAGGTGGGCAGACTGCTTGAGCCCAGGAGTTCAAGATCAGTCAGGGAAACATGGCAAAACTCTTTCTCTACAAAATGTACAACAGTTAGCAGACATAGCAGTGCATGACTGTGGTCCCAGGTACTTGGGAGGCTAAGGTGGGAGGATCACCTGAGCCTAGGGGTCGAGGCTGTAGTGAGCAGTGATTGTGCCACTGCACTACAGCTTGGGTGACAACCTGAGACCCTTTGTCAAAAAAGAAAAAAAAAAAAAAGATGACAACAATGTCAAAAGTATAACAAAGTCTCTATTTTACAAATACTTCATACCCAAAAAGCCAATTATTTGACTTATTAAATGTAACAGCATGTTAGCGCTTTCTACGGCAACCCTCTTTCTTCAGATTTTGCACGTACTCCAAGAAAAAAAAACTTGAAATTTCTTGAACACACAATTAGTTTACTTGTTCATATCTTTAACTATGCTGTTCTCTTTTGTCTACGATGCCATCTATCTCTTAAACGAAAAACTTCCATTTATTCCTCAAAATCATGCTCGGGTGCTAGCATAGCTATGAAGCGTTCTCTGACCTGTTCTAGAAGTCAAACATTCCGCCTCTGTAATATTTCCATATTTTAAACTTACTATTATTGAATGGACTCCAAAAAATTATCTCTTTATTGTTGTGCCTAGTCCCTAAGATCCTGGTTTCAAGATCCTGAAAGACAAAGAGTTTCTATCCCTTACAAACACCACAGGACCTGACACACAGAAGACACATTTATTGAACTTAGTGTTTTCTTCATGTTTACATTCTTCAAGTACACAGCTATCTATGCAGTGAAAGATGTGCCCTACAAGTAGAAAAAGAAAAACATGAAGTACACAATAGACAATCCTCAAGTCCCATAATGCAGATGTGCATGAGCAATTATTAGCAGTTCAAAGTTGTTTCATTATGGTAAGTGCCATTCTAACTAATCGCCACAACCAATTTTGTCTAGGAAGCATATCTGGTTTTAAAGTGTTGATTTAAGCCAGCTGGGCTTGGTGGCTCATGTGTGCAATCCCAGCACTTTGGGAGGCCAAGGTGGGTGGATCACGAGGTCAAGAGATCGAGACCATCCTGGCCAACGCAATGAAACCCCATCTCTACTAAAAATACAAAAACTAGCTGGGCGTGGTGGTGCGTGCCTGTAGTCCGAGCTACTTGGGAGGCTGAGGCAGGAGAATCGCTTGAACCTGGGAGGCAGAGGTTGCAGTGAGCTGAGACTGCGCCACTGTACTCCAGCCTGGCAACAGAGCGACAGACTGTCTCAAAAAAACAAAAAACAAAAGTGTTAATTTAAAAGAATTAGGATGCATTGGTTGCTTAAGTAAACTGCTTCTAAAAATGAATAGCCTAAGCTACAAGCAAGAGAATTTCTTTTTTTTTTTTTCCTCTTTCCGTATACATTGGGTCTCACTATGTTGCCCAGGCTGATCTCGAACTCCTGAGCTCAAGTTATCCTCCAGCCTCGGCCTTCCATAGTGCTGGGATTACAGGCATGTACCACCACGCCGACCTAAGCAGAAGAATTCCTAAGTAGCTGGTAGTCTTGGCCTCTACCAAGGTTTGGAGGCACACTGCCATTGTGACCTTATCCCTCTCCACTATGACCTCACTAGAATCAAGACAGACAGCAGCAGCCATATCTCAGTCCAGAAGACCACAATTAGGGAACTTCAGCACACACACACACACACACACACACACACACACAAAATATATATATAAACTCCTTAAGAACAACCAAATATATCACTTTTTATAAGATGAATGATAGCCATCTTATATTAACACTACCAATTAGCCTGACCAAAAAGGTATCAATGTAGATGCCAATTAGTGTGGCCTCACTGAAACATAACTTAGATCTAAATTAACTGAGCATAATACGAAATGGTATAAATTAGATCTAAATTAACTGAGTGTAATACGAAATGGCACCAAGTATCACTGATTTAACACCTGGTGAAATAAAAAATTGTGTTATTTCATGTTCTGTTCTTCAAATAACCAGACAGTATCTTTCACTTTGGCTTCTTAAAAATTAGGGTTCACAGGCCGGGTGTGGTGGCTCACACTTGTAATCCCAGCACTTTGGGAGGCCCAGGTGGGCGGATCATGAGGTCAGGAGTTCAAGACCAGCCTGGCCAGCAAGGCGAAATCCTGTCTCTACTACACACACACACATACACAAAATTAGCCGGGCGTCTGTAATCCCAGCTACTCAGGAGGCTGAGGCAGGAGAGTTGCTTGAACCTGGAAGGCAGAAGGTGCTGTGAGCCGATAGCGCCATTGCACTCCAGCCTGGGCAACAAGAACAAAACTCCGCCTCAGGGAGGAAAAAAAAGGGTTCACAATCAGCAAATGTGAAGTGCATACTAAAATTCTGCTCCAAACACACTGTAAATAAAGTAAACCCAATGGGTATGCCCCAAACTCCATTTTTTCCTCATAGTTAAGTACTGCCATCCCTCTCCAATCTGCAGTTCCCACTTTCTGTACGCCAAGAAAGTTAAAAAATACAAGCAGGTACTGAGTGAGGACCTGAGGGATTCTCCCACGAGTAAAGTACACGTATTTTCATTTGCCCACAATGTTCTTTTGGTCAGCTTCTGGGTTTTGCTCTCACTCCAGAATTGAAGCTACTGTAGTGTTATAAATCTGTTGAGAAAAGAAATCTAGATTTCTATGACGATTTTTAATATTTTAATTAGCCAAAAAGCTTCTCAAATATTTTTATAACTACAAGTCACATTTATTAAATGATTCCAGTTACAATCCCAGGCACATTTACTACACAACAGACAATGCTAAATGGTGAAGACAAGTGTCTCTGGCTTTTTAGTATAAGACAGATGATCTTTCATTAGTCCTTCCAATTAAAGCATTAGCATCAACTCTGAAAAATCTGGTGAAAGAGTGAAAAAGAGGATGAAGAGAAAAGGCAATCAGACAATTTGATAAACTATTTTTGTCATTACTGTTCAATATTTATGAAGCACCCTAATGCTCGAGATCTGACAAAAATTCGGAAAGGCTGTTCCAAACAATAACAGAAGAAAAAAAATCAAGTTCGTTTACTTTTCAATAGCTGGCGGGGGAGGAGGAGGAGCACTATATTCAAAAAGTAATTCACTATACCTCATTCATGAATGAAAGCCAAATTTCACCCATAGGCTGTTAACCGATGCTCCGAAACTTATTCGCAAAGTACATAGAGAAAGAAATTGCGCTGGGCGAAACCTAACTCGGGCAGAGAAGCGGCTTCAAAACCTGAAAGGGAGAAAACGAGTCAGGTCGTTGCTCCAGAAATTTCCGCGCGCCCAGCTCCCCGGGAGGCAGCGCGGGCGCCAGCGGCGGGGAGGGGACGGTGGCACCTGTCACTCGAGCGGCCCCCGCGGGGTCTCAGGAGGCTCAGCGGCCGCCGGCCTGGGAGTCTGCTGAGAGTCCCTCTCCGCGCCCGGAGCCTTGCGCCCAGCGTCGGGCCGCGGCCCTTTCCGCGGAGCGGCCCTCCCGTGCCCTCTGCCCAGCGGCTCCGGCCAGTGGGGCCCGTCGCCTCAGGCCGAGTCCCCGCCACCCGAGCCCCGGGGCGCCGAGGGGAGCGCTGTCGAGCCGCTGCCTACGCCTCCGGGGCGCCGAGCGGACCCCCGCGAGGCGGGCCCGCCTCCGCGTACTCACCGGGCCTCCCGGGCCGCCGGCTCGGCCCTCCTCTCCCTCCTCCCCCCGCCGCCGCCTCTCCCGCGGCTCCCCGGGCGGCCACACTGGGCGTTGAGACTGGTCTGGGTCAAGTGTCGGCAGGGCTGGGGGCAGGCTCGCGCCGGGCTGGGGTCGCGGTCGGCCCGCGGGCTGGGCACTAACGGGTCCCGGGGCGCCGGGGCGGACCGCGGCGGTGAGCGCGGCTGCAGGCTGCGGTGAGGGGCGGGGAGAGCGCGGCTGCGAGCAGGCGGGCGGGCGGAGGGTGGAGGGAAGCCCGGGCGGAGGGGGCGGCGTGAGAGCCTCGGGGCGGGGGCGGGGGCGGGGGCGGGGCCTGGCGCGTCCGCCGTGCGCGGGGGTTTGTTTATTTTCGCGGTTGGTGGCGGCGCTGGCGCTGGTTAGAGGTTCGCCGGTGACGTGCGCGCCCGAGTTGGGGGAGAGGACCAGAACCACCTGCTGGAGAAGGGGAGCTACGGGGGCCGGGCAGGGTCCAAACGCCTCACGTAGGCGGCGGCACCACGGTCTTCGGGGTCACAGGGAAGAGAAGGGCTGTCGAGCGGGTGGAAGGAGGGAGGCCTCCCGAGGGAATGAGACTCCAGGCCACTCCCCCGCAGCAAGGCAGGATCACCTGCGTCTCGGAGAGCAGTTAGAGGGCCCTGGAGTGGAAAAGGGCGGTGGGACCTGGTAGCCCGGGTTCCCTGCGACGTGAGGTTCGACCTCCAGGCAGTGAAGTAGGGATGGTCCTGCAAGTCAAGATTCCAGTAGCAAGACTGCATCAGCTCTCTGTAAGGAAAATAACATTTCTCCGTTCCCTGTAGAGTTGCAGGGCGCTTTAACGTTATCTCCATCAGGTAGTAGTGGTCTAACTACGGGCGAAGTTAAGTGACTTACCCAAAGCCTCACAGCTAATAAACGGGAGAGCCGGCACCCAGCCGTACTGGCTTCCAATTCTGTGAGCTTACCAGCGCATCACATTATCTCCATAAATCCCCCTGATTCAACTAATAGTAGACGCCCCACAGGTAAGATGCTGCAGAGTTACAGAGGGGAGTTGAAGATATCTTTGCCTTCAAATAACTAAGGAATAAAACAAAGATAAAATAGACAATAAAAGACAAACCATGATAGGTTCCATGTGAAAAGTGGCAGAGTACTGCTGGGAATCAAAGAACCGTGTATATCTGTCTTGGGGATAAAGAAAGAAAGGCAGCATGAAGGAGTAGGCATTTGGGATTGACCTTGAAGGAGACAGAGTTTTACAGCAAGAAGGGATAGCATGAGTATATATACGAAGGCGAATCAGTGAAAGTTGTGTTGGGGAAAGAGCAAAGACTCCAGGGTATGTTGAGAAGTGGCAAAGACAAAGGAGTATGGGGCCTAAGATACCAAATGGATGAATTTGTATTTAATTCAGCATTTTGAGTTTTCATGGTTTAGAAGTTTGGGGGAAGAAAAGAAGGTTTTTTTCTTTGCACTATTGATTTATCTGTGAGGGGAAGCAGAAATTAGAGGTGGAAAAACTGACAGTTCTACTGTAGGCCAGGTAAAAGGTAATGATGAGTCTGACCTAAAGGGACAGCCAGGGGAATTTAAAAGAGCATGGTTGAGAGATGATGTGCGTGCAGAATCTATAGAATTTGGCAACTGATTGATTAATTGTGGGTAGGAAGAGAGAAATCAAAGAAAGTGGAGGTTTTGAGTTTGTAGATAATTGCAAGATTGAAAAGAGACAATTACAAACAAAGGAAAGGAGGAGCTACTTCTTGAGAGAAGATCAGTTTAGATTTGGACATTTTAAGAATTCAAAGGGTTGTCAAGACAGCCAGAGAGCCATGGACACTAATATGTTAGAAATAAAGGTTTTGTAGTATGAGAAAGAGGACCGAACTAGAAAATAGACTCATTGATAATCAGCCTAGCGGTAATATTGCTGTGAGATAAGACGACAACGGTCAGAATCTTGGAAAACACCCTCTTTAGAGTCTCACTCCTCAAAACGTGGTCAGTGGCCCAGCAGCACTGACAGGAGGACGTTAGTTAGAAACTCAGAATCTCAGGGCCCGCCCCAGACCTGCTGAACCAGCATCTTCAACTGAACGAGAATCCGAAGAGATTTGTGCCACATCAAAAAGTTTGAGAAGCTCTGATCTAGGTGAGCGAAGCCAGCAAAGAAAGGGTGTAGAACAGAAAGTGGGAGGAGAATAGGGTAATGCAGAATCATCAGCAAGGTAAATTGGAGTTTCACAAAAGCAGGACTGAAAGGAGTGTTGGTCAACAATATCCAAAACCACAGAGGTTGAAAAGCACAAGGAAAGAAGGTATGTTTGCATTTTGTGATTAGGTGGTAGGGTCTTTAAGACCACATGGTTCTCATTGAAAGCCTGGAAAGAAAGATCCCCTTTCTGGTCGAGGTTGGTCTAGGGATCCCATCTTCCTCAGTTCCCACATATATGGGACATACCGAGATACGTAGATAGATTTGACAGTGGGAGAAAGTAGTTTCCCTTCCCATTGCTTCTATTTTCTCAGCAAAATGAGGAACAAGATCATTTCGGCAGACTGCTAATTGTCCATCACAATTTAGTCTCCCCTTCTCCCTGAAAACACAGACTGCTTTTCTCAGCCTGTCTTCCAGTTGCATATGGTCAAGTATTAAGTTATAGGACGTGAGCAGATGTTATGTCTGCCACTGTCAGGCCAGGGCGTTTACTTTGAGAGTACTTGTGCCTCTTTAATGCATTTTCCTTTCTGCCAGCTGGACCGTGGACACAGTGACTCTACTTCAGTTATGCAGATGACCACAAGCCTCCGGAGTTGGCAGAGCCACAAGAAAGAAGGTGCTTGGATGAAGGAGAGCTACCCACTGACCTGGACACCCAATTATGTGAGCAAGATATATTTCTATTGAGTTGGAACCATAACATTTTGCAGTCTATTTGTTATAGTAGTTTAGCCTACTCTAGGTAATGTAGTCCTTAATGGGAAGTAATGAGAAAAGAAGAGAGAAGAAGGGAGGTGAAATCAGAGTTTGAGTGAGGGAGAATGAACTGACTAAAGAACATGGTAAAGTTTCCAGGCATTACTAAGAGCCCCATTGAATAAGTGGTCATGAATTTAGAGTGAGGCTAGCCACTTGGTTATGCAATTTTCTCCAGCCATAATCAGTTGCTCATGTGCAGGCACTGAGTAGGCAGTTTTGGCAGTAACCAGGACTGAGATTTGACCAGGCAAGCATAATGAGGAGCTAAGGGCAGAGTTGGTGATGGTAGAAGCAAAGGAGGCCTTATAATTTCAGAAGTGGTAAGAAGTAAAGTTACGAGAGGAGTGAAGAACGGTAGAAAGATGGTAGAGTGACTGAATTGGTGTTTTTGATTAGGTTGAAGAATTGTTGAAGTTTAGTTACTATATGGAATGACCTTGGAACGATAAGAGATGGTTGGAGAGTGGAGGCTTGAATTAAATTAGAGGAGGGGCTGTAGTTATCAGTAATATTAGAGTGTAAGGAATGCATTTGAGAATGGATAATTGAGGTACCAGAGGGTACAAGATCCTCTGAAGGGAGGTCAAGGAATTGAGATGCAGTAAGGATTTTGAGTGAACATCCACCTAGTTATATATATCTATTCTACATACGTACATACATATATACACATACCCCTCACAAAGAATTACCGCAAGAGTAATACCACAATAGTGTTGTAGTAGTGTGTAGTTTTGGAGAGAGTGATAGTAGCCCTAGTACTAAAATCTTTCATCTATGAGTGAGGGGTTGAATTCTCCAAATTAGGCTGCACAGGGACATCAGTGGTTTAATATGTTAAACTCTTGCAAATATCACATTTCATTAAACAGATGCTTTCACGTTTTATGTTGCTAAAGTAAGATTTCTAATTGCTTCTCTCCGACCTCTCAAATTACAATGGTAACTGCCTTCTTTTACAGGAAATGCCCATCTGTCTGTATTATAAACCAGACACATGCCAGGTTTTCCAATTTAAATGACAGTGCTTTAAAACTTGTCATAGACTACTCTGTCCTACCTCCAACGTGTATTTCAAGTAGATGCATCTACAGTGATGCTCGCTCTGCCACATCAAACAATGCATAGTAAATGTTCAAAATCTACATTAAAAACCTCGGTTATAAAGAGCTAGATACCCTGTTTTACATGATGTGATTATTATTCATTGCATAATCAGAACATCTGTATCAGAACATCTCATATACCCCATAAATATATACACCTGCTGTGTATGCACAAAAATTAAAATTACTATTATTTTTGAGATGGAGTCTTGCTCTGTCAACCAGGCCAGAGTGCAGTGGTGCAGTCTCAGCTCACTGCAACTTCCGCCTCCCCGGTTCAAGCAATTATCCTGCCTCAGCCTCCCAAGTAGCTGGGACTACAGATGCATGCCACCATGCCTGGCTATTTTTTGTATTTTTAGTAGAGACAGGATTTCACCATGTTGCCAGGCTAGTTACAAACTCTTAATCTCAAGTCATCCACCCACCTCAGCCTTCCAAAGTGCTGAGATTACAGGCATGAGCGACAGCACCTGGGCCAAAACTTAAAATTAAAAATTAAAAAATTAAAACTTCAGTTATAGCTTAAGTTAACAATAAGTGGGGATTGACTAAAGACCTGATAAATTGAAAATAAGATTACTCGTGGCTTAGGAAATGATGTACTATGTTATATAACGTAGGGGCTTTGGACTCAGACTGCTAGGGGTAGAATTATGAGGTTATTGTGAGGATAAGACATGTTACACACACACACACACACACACACAACCATTCTAAAGACTACAAGTACATATAAGCATTAAGTTAGGTATGGTTATTCTATTATCATACTTATTTCTAATTATTATGGAATTGCTTTGACTGTACATGGACTTTCCCTACTTAGAAAATGTTCATTACATCTGTACATGTTAAAACCCAGTGGCAAGGGACTTCTGGTTAAGCATAGTTCATTGAACACACGTTTGTCTCCACTTACTCCAGAGACCTCATTAAAATGACAGTAAAGGAATAAAAAAGATATAAATCTGTAAAGAAAAAGCAAACAGGGAAAGAGCTCCCCGCTGAATAAAATGCCAACAAAACTTAGGAACGTGGAAAACAGATGGATGAGTGATCACTGACTTACCAAAGCCTCCAAAGTGACTACTTAAGCTTTTGGGAGGAGGCAGAACCAGCCGTTAAGTGAACCTATCCATGTCACAGCACCCTGGAAAGGCTCTAAAACTAGAGCTGCCTTCTCTTCGAAAGTAGAGGGAGAGCAGGGCTGAAAAGGAGAATTCACTGTGAATGTTTTCTAAAGAGAATGAGATCCTGCCTCCCCTATATACCCTACTCCATTCCATGCTGCCCAAATTCACCAGAAGATAGGTGGTTTACTTTCTGGAGAGGTTGATTCAGAGCTCTCCCGGGCACCAGGCAGAGCTGAAGACAGGGATGACTCACTACACAGAAAAGCAGAATTAAGTGAACTTGTGCATATTAAATTATAAGGCAGACCCCTTTCCCCCAGCTTCATTCACAAATTCAGATCCTAGAATACTGGGATCCTGTCAAGAGACTGGAAGCTTCCTCTTAGGGGAAAACCAGCTGCTCCAAGAGAAGAGGTCTCCAAATACTGAGGTTTGGGGATCCCATGGTGAAGAGTGTGGCTTGTTGCCTGTCTCCTACGGTCAGCCCAATAGTCAGCAATCCCTGATTGTACCTACGAGGGCTCTCATCAACATTTGATTGCCTCATTCTTTTATTTGAAAAATTTTGGCTGGGCGCACGGGCTAATACCTGTAATCCCAACACTTTAGGAGGCTGAGGTGGGAGGATCACTTGAGCCCAGGAGTTCAAGACCAGCTTGGGCAACATAGTGAGATCCCATCTCTACAGAAAAGAATAAAAAATTAGATGGGTCTAGTGGTACACACCTGTAGTCCTAGCTACTTGGGAGGCTGAGGCTTGGAGGATCATTTGAGCCAGGAGTTTGAGGCTGCAGTGAACTGTGATTGCACCACTGTACTCCGGCCTGGTTGACAGAGTGAGACTCTCTAAAATAATAATACAAATTTTAAAGGTTTTTTAGAGATAGGGTATCTCTGTGTTGCCCAGGCTGGCCTCAAAGTCCTGATCTCAAATGATCCTCCTGCCTGTATAAATTAGTTCAATCATTGTGGAAGACAATGTGGCAATTCCTCAAGGATCTGGAACTAAATACACTATTTGACCCAGCAATCCCATTACTGGGTCTATATCAAAAGGATTATAAATCATGCTACTATAAAGATACATGCACATGTACGTTTATTGTGGCACTATTCACAATAGCAAAGACTGGGAACCAACCCAAATGTCCATCAGTGACAGACTGGATTAAGAAAATGTGGCACATATACACCAGGGAATACTATGCAGCCATAAAAAAGGATGAGTTCATGTCCTTTGCAGGGACATGGGTGAAGCTGGAAACCATTATTCTCTGCAAACTGTCACAAGGACAGAAAACCAAACACCACATGTTCTCACTCATAGGTGGGAATTGAACAATGAGAACACTTGGACACAGGGCGAGGAACATCACACACCGGGGCCTGTTGGGGAGTGGGGGCTGGGGGAGGGATAGCATTAGGAGAAATACCTAATGTAAATGACGAATTGATGGGTGCAGCAGACCAGCATGGCACATGTATACCTATGTAACAAACCTGCACGTTGTGCACATGTACCCTAGAACTTAAAGTATAATAATAACAAAAAAGATCTTCCTGCCTCAGCCTTCCAAGTAGCTGGGACTACAGGCATGAGCCACCATGCCTAGCTATCACCTTATTCTTGAATGTGGTGAACAGCTGATTATCTCCATTTATTTGAAGAAACCTCCTTACATGAAAGACAGAACCTACAATGAACAAACAAGAAAAGAAAAAAAAAAAAAAAAAGAGCTTCAGTGGCCAGGTGTGGTGGCTGACACCTATAATCCCTGCACTTTGGGAGGCCAAGATGGTTGGATCACTAGAGGTCAGAGGAGGGTGGATCACTAGAGGTCAGGAGTTCGAGACCAGCCTGGCCAACATGGTGAAACCCCATCTCTACTAAAGATACAAAAAAGTAGCTGGGCGTGGTGGCACACACCTGTAATCCCAGCTACTTGGGAGGCTGAGGCAGGAGAATTGCTTGAACCCAGGAGGCAGAGGTTGCAGTGAGCTGGGGACAAGCTACTACACTGCAGCCTGGGCAATAAAAGCAAAACTCAGTCTCAAAAAAGAAAGAAAGAAAAAAAGGACTTGGAGGAAATAAAAGCAGTGCAGAAAGCGAGAAAACATGTCGAAATCAAGAAATTCTCAAAAATTTTAGCTTCCATATACTCTTCTCCCTCAGGAAACTGCTGGAAGGAGCACTCCATCCAAGTAAAGGTGTATATCAAGAAACAGAAAAACATGTGGCTGGGCACAGTGGCTCACACCTGTAATCTCAGAACTTTGGGAGGCTGAGGCGGGTGGATCACTTTAGGCCAGAAGTTTGAGACCAGGCTGGCCAATATGGTGAAACCACATCTCTACCAAAAATAAATAAAAAAATTAAAAAAAAAAAAAAAACCAATGTGGTGGCACATGCCTGTAATAACAACTACTTGAGAGGCTGAGACAGGAGAATCACTTCAACCTGAGAGGCAGAGGCTGCAGTGAGCTGAGATTATGCCACTATACTCCAGCCTGGGTGACAGAGTGACAGTCTGTCTCAAAAAAGAAAAAGAAACAGAAAAACGTGGGATCTGGTAAACCGGAACTCCAACAAAGCAGAAAACAAAGAGAATTCCCTAGATCAAGCTTTTCCAACCCGTGGTGTGTGGCCTAGGATGACTTTGAA